ATCGAACCGGTGAAGCTACTGGTTCAATGGTTCAGTGGTCGAACCAGTGGTCGAACCGGTTTAATTAATATATAATTTTTTATTTATTTTATATGTATAATATATAATTATATATATTTTTTATTGTTAATTCTATTAATTTTATAGTGTATGACATTTCTCTAAATAATAACTCAATATTAGATACAATCGACAATGATGATTAATGTTTATATTTTTTATTTTATTTTATTTTTTATATTTAAAATTTTAATCTATATTTAAGTTACAAAATAGAAAGAATAGAAACAATCCTATTTTCATTTTAAATCACATTTCAATATTTTTATTATTGCCTTAAAAAAATAATGTACATAACAAACAACAATAATTTGTTTATTTCTTTTTTTATAATTTGGGAATAGATATAGCCCAATTGATAGTTCAATTCACAAAATAGTTCATTTTTTTTTAATGAGTACAATATTATTTGTAAGGTCCAATATTAGCCCAATAATTTTATCAAAAGAACATATCTCACATTGGAAACACAAGTAAAAAATAAGTGCTATTTAAATCACTTCACAATCAACCAATTCAAAATTCAAAATCTTGAACCGTTGAACCATTCGGACCGGTCCCGGTTCACCGGTTCAACCGGTTTTGGACCGGTTCGAATGGTTTTTGACCGGTTCAAACGTTGGGCGGTTTGATGGTCCAAACCGGACCGGAATGAAGGCCAGTTCCCGGTCCAACCGGTTGAACCGGCCGGTCCGGTCCGGTTTTCAGAACAATGGATTTAACTCATACTATTAATCATCTATTTTCAAAAACGTTATTATATTACGCTTTTTGAGAATGAACTTTCTAGACTAAAAAAATTAAAATTAATTAACATATTTAGATAAACTAGTACGTAACCCGTGCGATGCATGGGATGTAAAATTTAGAAGAATAATATAACCTCACGTACATTAGGATCGAAATTGAAATCATTAAAGTATATAGGAACATTGTTGAATCATAAAAAGTTCGGTAACAATCATATATTATTAAAAATCTCCTTGTACACAACATTATGAGTTTGATTATTTGGTAACTCCTCATTATCACAAACTAATATTTTCAAAATAGACAAATCCTAAAAATCAAACTAATATTTTTGGTGAATAAACTAATATTTTAGGATTGGTGAACAAACTAATATTTTAGGATTTGTCTCTTTTTGGTGAACAAACTAATATTTTATGATTGGTTATATGAATAAGGCTACCTGTTTTTTGTGTTCTTTTCATTCATTTTCATTCAAACAATCCGATGACTTGTATAATGAAATCCGAATCTTAAGCCGAAATATTTAAAAAAAAGAGTTTTTAAAAATTGATAAGTTAAGGCAATCAGTTCAGATTAATTAAAGATAAAAGAATATTCGCTCCTTGAAATAAAGACGTGTGCTATCATTAACCAAATATTCAGTTATTGATATAGAGTGGTTACCAAAAAATAGAACGCGATAAGAACGCTTAATGGAAATATCAATGGGATAAGGTCATAACAGATCGCTATACATTTTAACGATAAAAGATCAGATGGAATGATTTATGATCATTATGTCGTAATTAATGAATTAATTAGATGTGTGAAAAGGACATAATTAATGAGAAGTGTGAAAAGGACATAATTAATGAGAAGTGTGAAAAGGACCAAAACTTACCGGTTTTGGAAAATATTTAATGCAAATCCGACATTGACCATAAATTGACCTACTATTTTGGATAAATGTTAATTCTTATTATATAAGTATAGATGAGGTACAATACTTTAGTTTTACACTAATTGGCGAACACCAATTGTGATGAATAATTTCATTCAACTCGAATTAATATTTAGCTATCAATAAATCAATCAAAATTGGGTATAATCCAAGTTTTTCATAATTGATTTTTCAACAGGGTTTAGTTGAGTTCAGACAAAGCTTGCAAGTTAGATACTGAATATGACTCTCTTCATGATCTTCATAGTTCTTACACCTGAATTTCTGAATAAGAGTATGTGCTCAATACTGTCGAATCATAAATTATACTTGAAGGTCAGTAGTCCAGTGATGCTGCTGAGGAACATTGACCATTCCATGGAGTTGTGTAACGTACACGTTGAGTTATTATTAAGCTCAACAGTCATGGTCTCGAATGCAGAATTTTATCTAGTTCCAGAGCTGGTTATAAGGTTCTTATACCCAGTCTCATAATCATACCTTCTAATTTGAAGGTAACGTTTAAATTTCAACGCAAACATTTTTTTTTCATGGTTTCCTATGTTATGACAATCAATAAGAATCAATGTCAGCCTTTGTTGCACGTGATATTAGTAATGAAGAACCTTGTTTTCAGTCATGGACAATTGTATGTGGCTCTTTCCAGAGTCACGAATCGAAATGATTTAAAGATAATGATTTGTGGTGATAGAAATTCTGATGATATAAAAATCATGAATGTTGTATACAAAAAAATTTTAATAAGAGAAATGTTATAAGTACATAATTTTGTATATAGAGGTGTACATAACACTCACATTAAGTGGGTCCGACCAAAAAAAAATCAAGTAGACCACACTCTATGTGAGTGTTGTGTGTACAGTTGTATGTTCATTTATTATATACTTGTAGCATTTTTTTTCTTTTGTATTGCGTACTTTTCTAATATTTCATCTTCCGTGCAAATGCACGGGTTGATAGTAGTGTGATAGTTAACTGTACATATATTACTAATTAAAAGCAAAATAACTGATTGTTATTAGGTCTAGTTAACTTCTAGCACAATGAAGAAGCGAGGGTGAAAATAATGAAAAATAATAGTTCTCACGTAGAAAGTTTTCGTGAAGTATCTTGTTATATATGTCCTGGGCCATACCCAAATCTTGCGATTTTACTTAAATTTATGTTTGGTTTCTTTCAATTCGCATTAATTTGGCAGTACACAGTACACACAACCAAATAAAGTTGAAAAATAAACCTAATTCAGGACATAACCTAAAAAACAATTTTGGGCATCCACCAGGGAAGAACAATTTTGCTACGTAAATATATATATTGTACATTTATGAAAAGAACAAAATAAACTTGTCATATATATGTCAAGATATCATAATATTAATTAAAAATGTGGCATTTTATTCATCGATCAGTTGTAATAATTAATAAAAAAAAAAATGGACATATGTGAATTTTTTTATGAACATGGCATCGCCAACCTGTAAATTCAGTCAAGCTTTATTTGAGCAACATGTCATGTGGCCTTAGAGCATCAATTCAGGCAAAAAGAAAAAAAGAATGATAATATTCCAATTTTATTTCAATTAATGACAATCTTTTCCTTGAGAATCCTATGTTGTATGTGAAATATGTTGCATTGAGAAATATTGAAATGCAAAACTTTGAGTGTAAGTGATACCATGGGTCAATTTTTGTACTTGGGAATTCAATGTGTCAAATTATGATTTTTTGGAATACTTCATGGATTTAGACTTTTATCTGTGTCAATTAAATTTTCAAAATTTTAAAACACTTTGGCTTAAATTTGTTTAAAAATCTAATAACTTTTATTATTTGTTACGAGTTTATTATATATGATATATCAAATTTATCATTTTTGGTGATTTTTATTCAATTTCAATATTGTATACAAAAAATATATAAATACAGTCCTTGATGGACGAGTCTTATACATGACTAATCTTACTGTAAATAAAAATACAAATTTACATTTTAGTAAGTATTTATGAATTTAAAATTAAAATATATTTATTTATTTTTTTAAAGATAACTTTTTAATTAGCACCCGTGCATACTATTACTACTTAACTATTATAAGACAAAAGAAGAAGAAAAAAATCTATAATCTACAGTGTTTTAAATTAGAACAACTTTTACCTTAGCAACTTAAGACATTCTACCATTAGGTATCCCTCATACATTACTCATTTATATTAATAATATGCATCCATTGAAATTACTAATAATATGCATCCATTGAAATTACGATAGCTGTCCTTTTACTTCCTTAAATAAATATTTTAAAAAAAAAACACATTAATAAACTACTAAATTATATTTTATATAGCACGGGATACTTAACTTCATCTCATTTTCGGTTTTGGTACTCAAAATTTCACTTAATCAGTTCTTGTACCAACCAGAAAATGACATAAAATCAAGCAAATATTAAAAAAAAATTGCAAAAAATGACAAATCTGATTGGTGATTACAATTCACTATCTCCCATCGCAAGAAAAATCCTGAACACTTCCACAAAGGTCCAACGTTATATAATCCCAATCAAAACAGGTCTCAACAAGCATCACATCACACCCAGCACATTTTCTCAAGTCCAAACACGAAAAATCGAACCAAAAGTCGAGACACAAGTTATATACGGGACGAAAGCAGCCAAAAACAAAAATCCGACCCTTTCTTCCCGACCACACGCTTATATACTACTGGAAACGGGCCGAGGCCCACCATTTTAAAAATACTTCCTTTCATATAAACCCGGCCCAGCCCAACTCACACGAATTTTCAGATCCTGTTAGTGAAAATAGGAACACATGTACAACCTAGCTATAATATCAATGGGCCCATCATCCCCTCCAACGGCATGCAGGGCAATGGGTATGGTAGACAGGAGATGAACCGTGAGAGGGAAAAAAGCGGGCTCATTCTCCACTTGGCCCGGCCCAAAATTTTGCAGCCCAGACTTTTCACCTGAATTTGTTGTTTCTGGGCTCAGTTCAGTTGGGCTGACGATCAGAGCAATTTCCTCGATTGACCTAGACTTTCCGGGGCTGTTTTTTCTGGTTGACCGTTTTTGTGCGGTTGACTGGCTGAGCAATAGGGTTGATGTGGCATCCAGCCATTCGGCCGTTAGGCCGTCCACGTCATCGTAGTATATACGCCGCTCCATCTACAGGAAACAGTGAAAAATAATATGATAATATATTAATTATTAAGGGTAACTTGAAATTTCGGAACTTTCGCTATTAACTTGGCAATCTTGTAAATTCGGCAGTGAAATAGAGGGAAAGGTTAGAGAAGATGCTTACAGCTAACTTTGGGATGTACAGAGACATAAACTTTGGTCCAAGGCCCAAAACTCTGGCCTCCGAATATAGAATCTGCAGAAGAAAAAAAAATCACGGTCAAAGAGTCATCCTCTTTAACAAACTAAATGATCCTGAAAGCAGAAGAAAATGTTGGAAGATGACTACCGCTCTCAGTTCAAGGTTATTTTTTATTGCAAAAAAACATTTTACAGTAGCCGCTTTCTGAAGCCCGAGTTTTACAAAATAACGCCACGGGAATTACGAGGCATTTGTTCTGGACTTGAAATTAAGGTTTTGGACATGTTGCACTAAATACTCATGCAATCTTGTGCAGAAGAACAGAGCCTCTGGACTTGAAATTAAGGTTTTGGACATGTTGCACTAAATACTCATGCAAACTTGTGCAGAAGACCGGAGTACTACGCAAGTTGAAAAAATTATTCTAATGAAACAAATCTAAATGCCAAACTAAACTATCATTTGAAAGCTTGAAGAGGTTAAATAACTGGAGCCCGGTACTATTAAGCATGATTATCTTACTTGAAAATTAAAAATAGTCCACAAAAAAATCAGAACAAGAAGAAATAGGAAAAGGAAGAGATTGTGAAGCAACAAATCTTATCCAACAGTAAACATGCTCATTTTCAGGAGAAAATTATAATTAACAAGGAAGAGGTCAACAACCAGCAAAAAGAAAAAACGACTATTCGAAAATAACAGACAAACTACAAAGTCCATCAATTATTCGACAACAGTAAACATGCACATAGAGAGTGTGATTACACACCATCACGTAGATCTATATCAGTTTTGAGAAAAAACCAACGAAAGAAAACAAACCTCTTTGTTTTTAAGCAGAACCCAAATGTAAAGCTTGTCAGTCGCATCCTTCACATGCCTCGTGGCCAGCTTCCTCTCGTTACAACGAGTCGCCACATCAGCAAGGGTCTCCGCCTCCGGCACCCTATATTTCACAGCCGCCAAAGACAGAGCTTCTCGAGCTTCAACAGACTCGATTTCATCTTTCTCAAAGTAAACCCCACTGAAACACCTATTCACCTTCTCAGCCTCATTTCCCGCCATTATTTTCCTCTTCAAGTAAAAATCCTCAGCCTCCAAAGCCGCAGCCAATGTCCGATGCACCACTATGTCAGGGTACCGACGTAAAGGAGATGTGAAGTGCGTGTATAAAGGCACAGCAAGAGCATAGTGACCGAAATCGCTAGTGTCCTTCAAATCTCCACTGCAAAAATAGGTTGCCAGCTGCATAGGCCTCGCAGCATAAGACATCAATATATCGAAAAAAACCGAGTCATTCTTCAGTTCTCCCCTAATCAGCTCCAACGAGCGGTGAAAACTCCCAGATGACGATATATCCAATTTCAAACCGTGTTTACTGCAAAAAGTTTCGAATTCTCTGAGTTTCCTAGGATTAGGCTCTGGGTGCCTCCTCAACAGAGCAGAAGACGGGTAAGTCCTTGTAATAACTTCTGCAGCTGTCCTATTAGCTAACAGCATTAACTCCTCCACAAGAAAATTCGAGCCCGTTCGACCAGAGACCACACTGTCATATGGGATCCCATTTTCATCATACAAGAAGATTACTTTCGGGCTCTCGAGCGAAAGGGCCCCACTTTTAAACCTGTTTTCTCTCAGAACAGTTGAGATGTCGTGAAGGCTCTTCAGAGAGGTAATCACTTCTCGCCACTGAAACGGGCTGTGCAACTCCGGCCAGTGATCGGCCGGAAAATTAAAAGATCCGTCGATAATATCCTGTGCGTGCTCGTAAGAGAGCTTGCAGCACGATCTTATGATCGTGCGCCCAATCCAACGATCCAAAACTTCTCCCGAACGATTAATGTCCCAAAAGATGGAAAAAGCTAGCCTGTCCACTCCTGGATGAAGGGAAGCCAGATTATCCGAGAGCTCCGGGGGCAGCATCGGTAATTTACGCCTCAGCAAGTAGACGCTGGTCGACCGAATCTGGGCATCGATGTCCAGAGCTGTATCGGGAAGAACGAAATACGAGGCATCGGCTATATGGACCCCAACTCGGAAAATTCCTTCCGGAAGCTTTTCCGCGGACAACGCATCGTCGAGATCGGTAGCGCTTGCAGGGTCGATAGTGAAAACGCACAAGCTTCTTAAATCCCTTCGAGTTTCAAATTCCTTCTTCGGAACTTCCCATGGGATTCCAGGAAGGCACGAGAGCACCTCGGGAGAAAACTCGGATGAATCGATTTCGTTTTCGAATAAGATGGCAGCTATTTGCGCCTCGACATCACTTCCCCTCCCGAAAACCTGCGTTACACATGCGTCCGGAATATACCGTTCTTCGGCCCAGTCAACTATTTTTGCAGCCACGAGATCGGACTCGATTGATAAGTCGCCAGCTTCCAAACGGTTTTTTAGGCTCTCGGGTAAGCTCCTCACAGGCACCATCATTTTAGTAAATCTCGGGTCAGTCGAGGTCAGCAAAAGAAATCCACTGTTGAGATCCACCGTATGGGATTTGTTGTTCTTCCTCGAGTTCTTTTTCCTGGTCTCCCGACTCGCAAGCCACTGCTTAATGCTCAGAAAGCCCACGACATTTTCCCGCCTGGCGGATTTTTCGATTATAGCCACGACTTTGCCTGTCGGTCTTTTCGATGGATATAAACTTATTAAAGAGGACAGCTTGGCCAATAAACTCATCGAGCCATGGCTGTCCTCAAAATTCTGTTGATAGCCATTATTACAATAATTATTATTATTATTATAATCGAGCACTGCATTTGCATGGCCGTTATCTGATGTGACTCCACCAGATGAAGACTCGTGATAACACATGATGTCATCAGATGAAGAGGCGTAATCACAATCCAGAGCGACTTTGCCTTTTCCCTTGGAACAATCTTGGGCATGGATAAGAACTTCATGAGAACTATCACACTTGGATGGAGAACTACTCAGAGTTTCACTTGATCCTTTCATTCGCGGCCACATTGATGGCGGATCAATTACAATAGCAACAGTATCTCCTTCAATCTATAAAAACAATGAGGTTAGCGAAAATTGAAAGGATGGATATTCTCAGAAATGCTGCAAATATGTAAAGAAAATAAAACCCAAGGCAGCAAATCTTGCATGTTTACTTCGATAGTAAAACAATTCATAGAAAATGAGACATAATAAACGATCAAAACAAATTAGCACACAGTGCGTTCTCTACAAGTTCCAGAAGCAAATTTAGTGGATGCATAATGTTGCAAGCCAGGCATGTGTGAATAGCATAAAACGTCTTCAACGTCAAATTTTATTTCTTAAGATCACCAACAGCTCAATAAAACCACAATACTCTAAGAGCTACAAAACTGAATTTACTTCCAAACTAAACCACAAAAGCTCGCACAGCCCAAATTGAACTGCCAGCCGATCAAACATCCAAATTTGTTAACACAAGTTGCTGAACTTTAAAGAAAAGTGCAACTCTCTCGTAATTCTATGGTTAACATATCAGCTATACAACAAAGAATAGTATACATTGTCCAGACAAAGAAATAACATCTTCGCCTAAGGTAAATAGCGCATATCCATGGACCATAAGGAAAAACTGTCAAAGAACATACGGCATATCTCCTTCAATATAACAATTTTCCAGTGTAGACGGGGGAATAAAAGACAAAATTAACACTTGTAGAGGTGAAGTGAGTAGCACTTACGGCTCTATTTTGGGCCACTGGTCCACTAATGAGAACATCAGTTTGGACTCCATCAATTTTGCAGTAAGCCTACAAAATAAATGACCTTTTAAGGGCTCACATCCACTGAACAAATTCTTACAAACCACAACAAGTGAAAGATACTGCGTTATAATGACAAACCTCAAGTCTGTTATGTGCATTGACACGAAACAATGCTCTCACCAGCTCACCTTTCTGCGCAAGGGAGAAAATACCATTAGTTTAACGATACCATAAAATCTAACACTTGATATCCATCTGAACTCAACCAAAAAAGAAAAGGAAAAAGAAGAAAGAAAAATGAAGTAACTTCAAGCTGACCTCAAGTGCTTTCCTAACAGAATTCACAGATCGATGTGGAGGGAAATATGTACGGCGAGATGAATAATCAATCGGCCGTGCAATTAACACAGTCTCAACAGGTTCAACAGCCACAAAGCTGACAGCTGGCTCAGAAACTGAATTGGAAAATGCCATTACCTCGTGAGGAGGTGATTGCTGATTGTGAGTATATTCATCTATAGTTTCTTCACACGGATTACACTCACGTGGCATATGATGATGCCCATTTGACACCATAAAATTGGATGAGGTTGATGCATCCGTGCACATTTCACCCACAGAACTACAAGCTGCAAGACAGAGCAAGCTTTAAAACATCAAAACATGGCTGATGAACTAGAACTTTTTATTATAACAGAAATTTCCTCTTCGCTACAATATTCAAGCGGCTGATTATATGTTCCGATTGATGCCTTGCGGCAACTGGCAACCAGCAGACTAAGTACCTCTTTCAAAATACACATTAACACATCAAACTGTATCCTATTGAAAACAAGATGCACCAACTTTGGCTCGTGGTCCTTCACAGATTACTCTCCTACTGTTAAGGGCCACAGATAACTCAATAATAACAGTACCAAAACACTATTACCAAAACATGTGAAACATTTACACTAATAAAACCACAAAATTTTCATTACAACCACACAATACACATAAAAACCACGAAATGACAAAGAGGGGTTTGGTGGGTTCAGATTACCTGAGAGAGTAAGCTTCGATTTCCTTGACCGGCGCTTCTTTTTCTTGCCGTCCTTGAAATCACTCGGAACAAAAATTTCTTCACTAGTCGAAACCCTGCTCGATTCAACAATCAAGGCGCCCATAACTCTCAACTAAATTACAAAAATAAAAATAAAAAAGAACCACGATATCAGATCAAACCACAGAAATCAAGAAAATGGGCAGATGGATCTTCCGTTTTATACAAAAACTAACGGAAGAATCCAAGAGAAAAACGAATTGGAGGTTAGAAAAACGAGAGAGGGGCAAGGTATTGAGTACGCATAAACGTATACTCATATAGATGTAGACGATAACCTAAAGTGGAGGGGATAGACACACGTATCTGTACGTAGAAGAAAATTTGTAGCACTAGTTTTGTAGAGAGAGAAAATGGATTGGTTGGAGAGGAAAGCGTGATAATTGGTCGGCAAAGTCCAGAGGCGCCGACTTTCTTTGGCCTTGCCTTTCTTTCACTTCTGCTTCTTTTCATACAATTTTTTTGTTTATTTATTAAAAAAAATCATTTGCTACCTAAATTGATGGAGAAAATTCCATTCCAAACTCATTTATAGAAATTGTATCAATTTTATTTCTTCTCAATAAAAGGTTTATATTTTTTATTATTTTTATTTTAAGACTAATTGACACTCGATATTAATCATAAAAAGGAAGCGAATATAACACGTAATTAAAAGGATTAGATGTAATTGTGTGCACGTTTGCGAGAATAACATAATGCTATTAGAACAATTAATTGCTTGTGAACAAGGATTAAGCACAAAAAGATAGGTCAACATAATAGGCAAGAAAGATCGCCAAACAGTAAAACAAGAGCGGCACTAATGATTAAGAGGGAAATATGTATATTTGAAAGAACACAAAAAAAAAAGGAGAATACTGATGGCTACGTGTCAACTAAGGGTGCGAGTGAGTGACGCTTGGCCCCTTGCAAAACCTCGACTTTTGATGATTAGGGAATTAGGAAAAGGAAAATAATGATCGCTACGTGTCAACTAATGGTGCGAGTGAGTGACACGTGGCCCCCTGCAAAAACTCGACTTTTGATGATTAGGTGGAATGGTGGCTTTGAAACTCCAATCCACCATTCTCCGTGAGACAATGAATTGGTTGTCCATAATTCATTGGTAAACTCTTCTTTTGTTCATTTTACAATAAGTATTCATCAATTCGAGTAGTTATTATTGCAGTCTTAAATATAATTTGAGATAGGAAAAGGGAGTGCAATAATATTAAGTTAGTGGACCGTAATATTATTTACGTAATTGGAGGAGTGGGCCCGACCCACAGTTAGTCCATTACTTAAGAAGCTCTATTCCTATTATTCTAAGGATCCCTACTGTAGCTCTAGATATACATCATTAAGCTCATGAGAAGTAAATACATTGATACACACATGATTATACACGCACGCCCAACTCTCTCTCTCTTTCTCTCTCTATAGATCTCATTCGAGCTTTATCTTCTTCTTGTTGCTCCACCGGTACAAGTTGAAGAGGTGTTTGAGTGATACAATAGAAGATCCCGAACACGACCCACCGCCGTGACCCGCTGACCCCGACCAGCCAGACGACCGTCGCGACGAGCCGAGCCCGACGACTGCAGCCCGTGATCCCACCGGCAACCACCGCAGTCTCGTGCCGCCGATCCCGCCTCTGTTCGTGATCCCGTCATCTCCAACGTGCTGCTCCCGGTCATCCCATCTGGTCTATCCCGTCAGATTCAGAAAGATTTAAGCCGTAAGTTTCTACGAACCTTAGATCCGCTGCGCATAGGTTTACGTTTGCTATTGAATTCGTGACATGTACATAACGAGATCCTCATATATCCCAACAGACGATTCCCCGGCTAGTAATTTAATGTTCAATTTTACTTTGCTTTGCTTGATTTCCTTCGATTGGTTCGGTGATTTGGAGGAACTTGGCAATTTTAAATCTTTTTTTGTTTGTTATTGAGTTGAGTTTTGACATGAAGTATGAAGTGGAATTTACATTTTTTTTTTTTTGAGTCGTCGCCTTGCAGCCTCGTCAAGTTCTTGAGGCCAATTAGTTGCACTTGTTCTAAGGAGACACTGAGGTATACTCAATTTTAAACAATCAAGCACAACATAATCCACTTTGCAAACATCCAAATTTGTGGCGATGTGTGCAAAATTGAATTCCTCATTGTTGCAATTGCACTGATTTTATTCGGATCTTTGCATTTTTTTTTTATTTTTTATTTATTTACGGTGATTGCATTATCACATAAAAATTAAGTTGGATGTGCAGTGCGCGGTGTTGAATGTGAATCGAGAAGCGCTGACATTGATGTTTTATTGTTTACATATAGTTATTTTTATGTTGCTTGAAAGAAGTTAAATTGTTGTTACGTTTATTTGGTTGTTTTCATAATATCCATTTGTGTTGCTTTTTCATTATTTTTATTTATGTATATAATCAATTTATTAATTTTCTTTTTTATGCATTCATGTTTGAAAAAGATGAACAAGAAAGACAAGAGAGAGAGAGAGAGCAGTTATTGATTCAAATTTTAAATTAGTTGTATAATTAAATAACTTTCTATTATAGCATTTTTAGAATTCTATATATTCGTTTTTTAATGGATTTTTGTTTAATACTTACGAAGTTATGTCTTTAAGCCGAGTTAAATGGATATCAACGATGTTGTGAAGTTTATGAAAAATTTTGTGAAAGTAGAAAAGATGAGGAGTTTAATTTATGATCCATCTAGTGACATCGTGAACTTTATGTTATAGTAATGGACTCCATTGTTTATTAAAGGATTATTGCTAATTAGGGAGATGCTACGGTCCCGTTATGGAACAATTATGTCGGGATTTGTAACCGTTGGATCAACTATCCTTGACGGTTACATGATTATTTAACGATTACAAACTCGACGGAATGATTTCGTAACGGAACCATTACATTTTTCTGCTAATTTACTCTGATAAAATCTAATATTCATTAATACAACTACCTATCACTATTTCAATTTTGTATGCGATTTTAATCATGACTAGTAGAATAGATCAGTTTTATATTCGGTCTGGTCTGGTTGGTCACTTAAACTGGCAAATAATTAGATCGGTCAAACCTAAAAGACTAGGTAAATTTGATTCATTCGAGCGTGACCCGTCTTTTTATTTTATCATTATAAATTATTTTAAACTAGTTATCCTCTTTTAATTTTCTTTATAGAAAATTCACTTTTGCACTACTAATTGGTACTGAATCTATACTGTGACCTAGCTTCGATTACTTGGCACCTTATGAGTTTTGTTTGCTAAAAATGCCTTCANTTTGATGTTATAATTCAATTTACTTCGAACAAGATGATGCATACTTGTGGCGCTACAACAAGAATGAAGTTTCTATTGAGGAAAGCTAGAAAAAGAAAAGGCTGTCATTGTGCAATTTCTCGCCATTTTGGTTTCACTCACACAGGTAATGTTTCCAAACTGCCAGATGTTCGCCGTTTTGCCTACAAGAACTTTTATGATATTTCAGATTCTTTCCTCATTTCTAACAGAGCTGGTCTTAATATTTTGCCATATTTAATATTTCCCTTTCTTTGTCATTACATGATCCGGTAGAATTGAAAAAAAAAAGAATAAAAATCCATTCTTTAAACATATGGGCTTTATGCAAATGGGAGAAAACTTGCAAGACTCCACAAATAATTCCACTGTGCATATATATAATAATTTATTTGTCTACCACCCGCAGCTGAGAGAAAACCAAATACAAAATACTAAGTACCAATGTATGCCGCCCGCTGATTTAAAATCACCAAATAGGACCTCATCCTCAAAGTTGAGGACCCTCGCCACCCTTTGGAGCCATCCACCCTTTGCGTCTGAGATAACGTTTTGCAATCTTTTTTCCATATCGGAAACCAAAGACTGACGCAACAGTTACATACGGATGTTTAAGAAGAGAAAATGTCGATAAACAAAAAATCGATGTAGCAGGCGAGAAGCATGCGGTCAAACAGCTGAAACGCTTAACCAAAGGCGACAACCAGAGGAGACAAATATATTATTAAAATTTGGAGAGTCTCTTCCTTTTCCACGAGTGCTTCTATAAAAGACACTCCACTTCCACCCGTAGATGTCAATAAACCCTCCCGTCTATGTCTAGAACCAAACGATTAAACCTATCAAGTTCCTCACACGAGGTGAGGTGGAAATCGTTTGGTTCTAGACAAAGACGGGAGAGTTCATTAGCATCTACGGGTGAGAGTGGAGTGTCTTTTAGTAGCGGGAGCTACAGCGGTTATAGAAGCACGAGGAAGAAGCTCTTCTAATTTTAATAATATATTTGTCGCCTTTGGTTAATCTTATTATGGGGTTTCAGCTGTTTGACCACATGGAGTGTCTTCTCGTCTGCTACATCGGTTTTTTGTTTATCGTTCTTGTCTCTTCTTAAACATCCGTATGTAACTGTTGCGGCACTCTTTGATTTCCGATATGGAAAAAAGATTGCAAAACGGGCAAAGGGTGGATGGCTCCAAAGGGTGGCGAGGTCCTCAACTCCGAGGATGAGGTCCTATTTTTCTCAACTGCCACCGACATTGGTACTTAGTATTTTGTATTTGGTCTTTTCTCTCAGCTGCGGGTGGCAGACGAATAAATTATTATATATATATAAATTATTATTATTATAATCGAGCACTGCATTTGCATGGCCTGATGTGACTCCACCATTGACGACTCGTGGTAACACATGATGTCATCAGATGAAGAGGTATAATCACAATCCAGGGCGACTTTGCCTTTTCCCTTGGAACAATCTTGGGCATGGATAAGAACTTCATGAGAACTATCACACTTGGATGGAGAACTACTCGGTGTTTCACTTGACCCTTTCATTCGCGGCCAGAGTGATGGCGGATCAATTACAATAGCAACAGTATCTCCTTCAATCTATAGGAACAATGAAGTTAGCAAAAATTTGAAAGGATGGATATTCTCAGAAATGCTGCAAATATGTAAAGAAAATAAACCCAAGGCACCACGTCTTGCATGTTTACTTTGATACTAAAACAATTCACAGAAAATGAGAGATAATAAATGATCAAAACAAATTAGCACATAGTGCGTTCTCTACAAGTTCCAAAATCAAATTTAGTGGATGCATAATGTTGCAAGCCAGGCACGTGTGAATAGCATAAAATGTCTTCAAAATCAAATTTTAAAATTTTATTAACACCCCTCAGTCTTAAGATCACCAACAGCTCCAATAAACCACAATACTCTAAGAGGTACAAAACTGAATTTACTTCTAAACTAAACCATAAAAGCTCACACAGCCCAAACTGAACTGCCAGCCGATCAAACATCAAAATTTGTAAACACAAGTTGCTAAACTCTAAAGAAAAGTGCAACTCTCTCGTAATTCTATGGTTAACATATAAGCTATACAACAAAAGAGTAGTATACATTGTCCAAAGAAGTAAATATCATCTTCACCTAAGGTACATAGGGTATATCCATGGAACAGAAAGAAAAACTGCCATAAGAACATACGGCATATCTCCTTCAAGATAACAATTTTCCAGTGTAAACGGGAGGAAATAAAAGACAAAATTAGCACTTGTATAGTCAAAGTGAGTAACACTCACAGCTCTATTTTGGGCCACTGGTCCACTAATGAGAACATCAGTTTGGACTCCATCAATTTTGCATGCAGTAAGCCTACAAAATAAGCAATCATTTAAGGGCTCACATCCACTGAACAAATTCGTACAAACCGCAATAAGTGAAAGATACTACGTTATAATGACAAACCTCGAGTCTGTTATGTGCATTGACACGAAACAGTGCTCTCACCAGCTCACCTTTCTGCGCAAGGGAGAAAATACCATTAGTTTAACGATACCATAAAATCTAACACTTGATATCCATCTGAACTCAACCAAAAAAGAAAAGGAAAAAGAAGAAAGAAAATTGAAGTACTTTCATCTGACCTCAAGTGCTGTACTAACAGAATTCATAGATCGATGTGGAGGGAAATATGTACGTCGAGATGAATAATCGATCGGCCGTGCAATTAACACAGTCTCAACAGGTTCAACAGCCACAAAGCTGAGAGCTGGTTCAGAAACTGAATTGGAAAATGCAGTACCCTCGTGAGGAGGTGATTGCTGATTGTGAGTATATTCATCTATAGTTTCTTCACACGGATTACACTCACGTGGCATATGATGATGGCCATTTGACACCATATAATTGGATGAGGTTGATGCATCCGTGCAAATTTCACTCACAGAACTACAAGCTGCAAGTCAGAGCAAGCCTTAAAACATCAAAACATGGCTGATGATCTACAATTTATTAGCATAACAGCAATTTCCTTTTTGCTACAACATTCAAGCGGCTGATTAAATGTACCGATGTTGATGCCTTGCGGCAACTGCCAACCAGCAGACTACTAAGTACCTCTTTCAACATACAGATTAACAAATTAAACTGTATCCTATTGAGAAACAAGATGCAGCTATCAGGTTTAACTAGATTAAGGACAAAAGCACATACAAAAAGAAACAAAAGCACAGAACATTGGCTCATGGCCATCACAGATTAAGCTCTCATACTGTTCAGGGACACAGATAACTCATAATAACAGTACCAAAACACTATTACCAATACATGTGAAACATTGACACTAATAAAACCAGAAATTTTTCATTACAACCACACAATACACATAAAAACCTCAAAATAACGAGAGGGGTTTGATGGGTTCAGATTACCTGAGAGAGTAAACTTCGATTTCCTTGACCGGCGCTTCTTTTTCTTGCCGTCCTTAAAATCACTCGGGAAAAAATTTCTTCACTAGTCGAAACCCTGCTCGATTCAACAATCAAGGCGCCCATAACTCTCAATTAAATTGAAAATAAAAATAAAAAAGAACCACGAAATCAGATCAAACCACAGAAATCAAGAAATTGGCAGATGGATCTTCCGTTTTATATAAAAATTAACGGAAGAATCCAAGTGAAAAACGAATTGGAGGTTACGGAAAACGAGAGGGGGCCAAGGTACTGAGTACGCATAAACGTATACTCATATTGATGTAGACGATAACCTAAAGTGGAGGGGATAGACACACGTATCTGTACGTAAGACAATTTGCAGTTGCAAGTGCCTAGGTACACCTTGCTAGGTGTGCCAGGACAGTATTACACGCGCTCCTCATTCTCAAAAAGCTCAAAAAGCTAGAAAATTTAGAAGGTGTAGTGCACACTCCTAATTTTTCTTTTTTAATAAAAAAATGAGACATATTACATAAATTAAAATATCATTAATTATTTATATTAAAAAAATAAAATAAAAATACCAAAATTCATAATTTTTCATTATCTATAAATAGAGACCACATTTGATAAGTTTTTGAGCACAACTAATTTTCGTTTTTTGGTAACATGTTCACATTATTGTGTATGTAATATGTTTATTTTATTCTATAACATGTTCATTTTATTATGTAACATGTTTATCTTATTCTATAACATGTTCATTTTATTATGTAACATGTTCATTATATTCTGTAATATGTTCATCTAATTTTCATCTGTGAAAATGTAACATTTGCATCTTATTAGAGAGGATTTTGGTTTGTGAAGGTGGATGATATTCGATCGAAAGACTAATTTATGAAATTTCTTTTACATTCTACTAGTTTTTCACTTTCATTCCCTATAGTATGACTATTGCATAAATTTGAGTTCTTATATGTAGATTATGGTTTATTATTTCAGGGCGGGGGTGCTTGCATTAAACGAGTGAAAGTCGAGCAAGAAATTAACCAGAATTTTATATATGAAGTGGAAATTGGAGAAAATAATGTGAGAGCCCGTGATGTAGATATGGAATCTAAACATGTTCATCTCATTCTATAACATGTTTATTTTATTATGTAGCATGTTCATCTTATTCTATAACATGTTCATTTTATTATGTAACATGTTCATCTTATCGTATAACATGTTTATTTTATTTTGTAACATGTTCATCTTATTTTATAACATGTTCATCTAAATTTCATATGTGAAAAATGTAACATTTTCATCTTATCAGAGAGGATTTTGGTTTGTGAAGGTGGAGGATATTCGATCGAAAGACTAATTTATGGAATTTCTTTTACATTCTACTAGTTTTTCACTTTCATTCCCTATAGTATGACTATTGCATAAATTTGAGTTCTTATATGTAGATTATGGTTTATTATTTCAGCGCGGAGATGCTTGCATTAAACGAGTGAAAGTCGAGCAAGAAATTGACCAGAATTTTATATATGAAGTAGAAATTGGAGAAAATAATGTGAGAGCCCGTGATGTAGATATGGAATCTAAACATGTCCATCTTATTCTATAACATGTTTATTTTATTATGTAACATGTTCATCTTATTCTATAACATGTTCATTTTATTATGTAACATGTTCATCTTATCCTATAACATGTTCATTTTATTATGTAACATGTTCATCTTATCGTATAACATGTTCATTTTATTATGTAACATGTTCATCTTATTTTATAACATGTTCATCTAAATTTCATATGTGAAAAATGTAACATTTTCATCTTATTAGAGAGGATTTTGGTTTGTGAAGGTGGAGGATATTCGATCGAAAGACTAATTTATGAAATTTATTTTACATTCTACTAGTTTTTCACTTTCATTCCCTATAGTATGACTATTGCATAAATTTGAGTTCTTATCTGTAGATTATGGTTTATTATTTCAGGGCGGAGATGCTTGCATTAAACGAGTGAAAGTCGAGCAAGAAATTGACTAGAATTTTATATATGAAGTGGAAATTGAGAAAATAATGTGAGAGCCCGTGATGTAGATATGGAATCTAAACATGTTCATCTTATTCTATTACATGTTCATTTTATTATGTAACATGTTCATCTAAATTTCATCTCTGAAAAATATAACATTTTCATCTTATTCTATGACATGTTCATCTTACTCTATAACATGTTAATCTTACTATGTAACATATTTATCTAATTATATATTTGCGTCATAATCTTCCAATAAGATAAATTAATTGTAAAAAATGATAAATTAATTGTGTTCCAATGTTCATATGTTCATCTTACTATATAACATGTTCATATGTTCATCTTATTTTATAACACGTTCATATGTTCATCTTATTGTGTAAATATGTAACATGTTCATCTTATTCTATAACATGTTCATCTTATTATGTAACATGTTCATCTTATTGTATAAAATGTTCATCTAAATTCCATCTGTAAAATTATAACATTTTCATCTTGTTCTATAACATGTTCATTTTACTATATAACATGCGCATCTTAGTATGTAACATGTTCATCTTATTATATATTTGTGTCATCACCTTCCAAAAAGATAATTTAATTATAAAAAATGATAAATTAATTGTGTTCCAAAACTTATCAAATGTGGTCTCTATTTGTAGAGATTGAAAAATTATGAATTTTGGTATTTTTATTTTTATTTTTTAATATAAAATGTGAATAATAATTTAATTTATATAATATGATATGTAAAATTTATTATCCAATATATATTGGACACTTGTCTTTTTTAAACAAAAAAAAAAAACTTGCATACCTTATTATCTTACCTCACGCGATTTTAAGAGAGAGTGCATTTCACACATGCCCTGGCACACCTAGCAAGGTGTACCTAGGCACACTTAAGTATTTGCGGACAATTTGTAGCACTAGTTTTGTAGAGAGAGAAAATGGATTGGTGGGAGAGGAAAGCGTGATAATTGGTCGGCAAAGTCCAGAGGCGCCGACTTTCTTTGCCCTTGCCTTTCTTTCACTTTTCTTTTCATACAATTTGTTGTTTATTATTGAAAAAAATTAAAATCATTTGCTACCTAAATTGATGGAGAAAATTGAAAATTCCATTACAAGCTAATTTATAGAAATTGTATCAATTTTATTTCTTCTCAATATAATGCTTACATTTTTTATTATTTTTAATTTAAGACTTATTGACATTCGATATCAATCATTAAAAAGGAACCGAATGTAAGACAGTAATTAAAAGGATTACGTTTGCGAGAATAACAGAATGCTATCAGAACAATTAATTGCTTATGAACAAGGATTAAACACAAAAAGATAGGTCACCATAATAGGTAAGAAAGATCGCCAAACAGTAAAATAAGAGCGGCACGAATGATTAAGAGGGAAATATGTATATTTGAAAGAGAGTTGTCTTAACTTTTTTTGTAATATTCAATGTGTTTCCTGAAGCCTTGAAGGCCGAATTCATACACAAAAAAATTAGGAAAATATTGATGGCTACGTGTCAACTAAGGGTGCGAGTGAGTGACGCGTGGCCCGCTGCAAAAACTCGACTTTTGATGATTAGGAAATTGGAAAAATAATGATCGCTACGTGTCAACTAACGGTGCAAGTGCATGACACGTGGCTCCCTGCAAAAACTCGACTTTTGATGATTAAGGAATTAGGAAAATAATGATGGCTACATGTCAACTAACGGTGCGAGTGAGTGACACGTGGGCCACGTGGTTTCCTGCCAAAACTCGACTTTTGATTATTAGAGAATTAGGAAAATAATAATGACTACGTGTCAATTAAGGGTGCGAATGAGTGGCACGTGGTCACTCCACCAAAAACTCGACTTTTGATGATTAGGTGGAATGGTGGCTTTGAAACTCCAACCCACCATTCTCCATGAGACTATGAATTGGTTGTCCTAAACTCTTCTTTTCTTCATTTTACAATAACCATTCATCAATTTCGTGTTTTAAATTCCAAATTTTTGTTACTTGGGTCAAGAATGCGAGCCGAACTAATGGATCTTATGAGGCTGTTAGTTATTAATGAAATTATAATTAGAATTAATCAAGAGTGATTCATGAATCAAACACAATATACCATAACTAATTAATTTTGAATATCGTGCGGGAAGCATATTGTGGGCAATGTTTCCATAAAGCATCCTCTAAAGAATTATGCATTCGAAAAAATCATCCTTCATTAAAAACAAGAATATAGAAAACCATAGAGAACGAATGAACTTTTTTCCCCTTTCTTACAAAAATATCTCCAGTTAAGTTTCATTTGCATGTAGAGATGAACCCCAACAAAGGCTAGTATGCAGCATAAATCCTGACTGGAATTATAAAATAATAACCACTTGAAGACTGATTCAACTGAACTCCAGTGTCTAATATTATGTAAATGGACACGAAATATTCACTGCTCAGTTCACATAATCATCATAATTCAAGGGAGCATCATTTTGTTGTCTGTAAAATCTCACCTTCAGAAAACCTGAGAGTACACTACTACAAGAGAGGGCATTGGATTTGGCATACAAGAACCAAACGGGCCAAAGATAAACATTGACACGTATTATCCGAACATAAACCCAACAAAAACCGAACGGACCAAAGATTCAGGCATCTACATCATCACCTCTATCCTCATTAACAAAGTTATACTCATAGGACTCATATTCGAAATCACGATCCTCATCCTCCATAGTCGTCCCATACTTGAATTGTTTGGTTCCCATAGTCGTGAAAGGCATCAAACCAAAAGCCCGGGCAGTTTTGATCTCACGAGCAACTTTTCTCTGTGCCTTAGCACTTATTCCAGTCTGCGAAAAAAAAAAAAAAAAAANNGAAAAAAAAAAAAAAAAAATTATGAAATGTTGATCCATCACATAATACAGGATCATTAATGGATGCAAGTTTTGTATTTATTTTTTCCTCACCTTGCTCCTCTTGATGATGACACCAGCCTCAGTAATGAAGTTCGCGAGGAATTGCACATTCTGGTGAGGATGTTAAGTAGTAAGAACAGATCAGAATATCCGGCGACAATAGTAAGGTAATAACACACTTAAGCAGTCAACAAATATTTCGGTTTCTATGTGTTCATTTAGCCCACAAAGAAATGGGTGCAAAACGATTTTCAGAAATAATGAACGGGGAGTCACTGTATAATGGAACAATATGTGAATAAGAAAAAAATTATGATGAATATTTCATAAGAGTCAACAACAAAGATCTTCAACTGACACAAAGTATCAACGTTTTAGTTCTCTTACAGTACGTGAATAAAATTACGATTGTCAAGAGATTTTATCATTTTACTTGAAATAAGTTTCTTTCGTTAGGCGGGCAGTCAATCGGTCAGCCATTTATCTACAACTTTTGCTAAAAACAAGCTCACGTGCCCATAAAGAAAAATGAAAAAAGTAAAACTGATATTTCGAACATCCTTACCCTGAAATCAGCTTTGAGCAGCACTTCCTCCGTTGTTGTTTCAAACTCGGCCCTTTTGGGAGGCTTACGTACGCCTGGCTTTCGCACGTCAAGATCCTAACGTATCAGGGTATTAAGTATACATGAGTATGGAAATCAAAACTATACCAAGAGGCTGAGTGTACATTCGTTTCAACTCCTTTGAACATTCATCAAGCTCAAGTCAAAAACTGAAGTACCATATATATATTATGGATTAAGAAATAGATAAAAGGCAACTCTGAACAAGATAACCACTTGGCAATAGAGCAATATGCTTATTACAGGGATTGTTAGCAAAAATATAAAGACAATAGATTATCATCTTTTAGTGGAATCACACAAGTATTTCCCCGGAAACAAACCGACAATCTCCCTTTTCTAGTGTGTCAGAACAACCCCATAGAACACTAGTTATTTACACACGGAACTATCGTTGCAGTTGACAAATGCATCAAATGAGATTATTAGACTATTTATGCATAGAACATAAACCAAAACAAGAAAAACGTGAAAAACCTGACTATAGTCTGATCTCGCATATTATTCTTTCACGTTTTTTGTTATACCTTGGTATCATAAGTCATCCCACTCAAAAAATTCACATCTGGCCTGAAAGCGTAATCCTCTCTAGTTACTTCATCAGGGTCAAACTCAAAGTAAGAAGCGGCTTTCTTTAGTTTATCATCCATCCCATCAATTAACGAATTATGATCATCATCCAGGACATCCATGAAACTCGGCCTGTTACCCGAATTGAACGAGTTACCGAACCCAGATCGATCGTGCGCCTTCTCGGCCTTGTCGAGCTTTTTGTAGAATGCATTCGAGCTACTATTAAGGTTTCCATTGCCAAAAATGCGTTGTTCAAAGTCATCAACAGATTCAGATGTATTTGAGTTCAGCCTGTCCTTAATACCTGGCCAAATGGGACGAGTTCATACTGAAACCAAACGAATTGAGAGAATGATGTGTGTTTGAATCAAGAAATATACTAGAAGGAAAAGCGGTTTAGGCTCCACTGGGCTCTTGGTATCCACACATAATAGAAATGGAAAGATTCTATTTTTATTCAATGTAAAAGCTCCCAATGACTTTAATGAACACGATTGAATTAAGTCTACGTCATTCTCCAATTTGTGATATTCAACTACAAACAGATTTAGGAATTCGTCTCATGCTTAATATGCAAGACAACAAATTANAAAAGCAATCAACCCAATCCAACACCTAGAAAAAATGAGGAACCAAAAATCACAGTTAATAACAGTGAAAACAGAAGTATCATTGAAATCATTTACAACATAGCAAATAGATAACTAAGTAGATGGGTGAAACAAGCAAAAGAACAAAAAAAATCAACACCAATCGATGTCTGATGAGACGAATACCTGAGAAAATGCCAACAGAAAATGGCCGAATCCCATTAGGGTTTCGCGATTGACGGGACAAAGCGGCGTTTGCGGACCATAGCGCAGCACGAATTAGCTTCATTTCCTGGAGAGGGCGAGAGATGGCGAGAGAGGGCCAGCGAATGGAATGGGTAATTGGGGGAAAATTGAGGAATTAGATTAAATTATGTGTTCAGGGTAAACTAATGACTATTTAATATTATTATTTATTAAATTTTATTGTAAATTTTGAGTTAATTTTTTTTTTTTGTACAAGCTAGACGCCTAATGAGTTAAACTGTAGACGGTTCGTGGATAGGCCACCCCAATGAGATCATGTTGACATTGAAGAGTTGATACCCCAAAGGTCCTTCCGCTGTGAAGGAAGCCAGATAATCGGCTGCATAATTCGCTTCACGGAATATGTGCTTCACCTTGACCTCCCACGGTCGATTTAAGAGTTCTTTGATACCCGACACTAGGCCTGTATGCGCACCCGGGGCATCATCAAGGGACGTAGCAAAACCTACGGCACTCTCGTTGTCAACCTCTGCTTCAACGTGCCTATGTCCCAACTCCCATGCCAGAGATAGGCCCCGAAACAAGCCCCACAATTCCGCCGTCATAATCGAGCAAACTCCTATGTTCATTGTGAAACCCCCAAGCCAATGTCCTTGTTCATCTCGGAGCAAGCCCCCCGCACGACCCATTCCCGACGACGGATCAAAGGAGCCATCCGAATTTATTTTAACCCATCCCGAAGGAGGCATCTCCGAACATATCCAACGAGATGTTCTCATGCAGCCCGTCCCTAGTTTGCCGTCCCCTTCGGTCACTCTCGCCAACCCCTCAATGTATGCGGTAATCTCTCGTAGCCCACCGGTTACGTCCCGCTTTTTTATCCTGGAAAAGGTACTCGTTGCGCCATTACCATAATTTCCACACAACCACCCCAAAAGTACAGGCCCAAGTATCTCCCCCTACACTCGTCGGGTGTACAATGTTCAAAAACTGTCATCGCGCCAAATTTGAAGAGAAGAACTCATTATGGGCTGTACATGGCAACAAACGTCTCCAAATTTCGGTGGCCATCGGACAGTCGCAGCACACGTGTAAAATGGTCTCCTCCGCGTAACTGTATATCTCACAGAGGGCAGCGGAACTCAAGTGCCGTCTCCTTCTTTCCACGTTGGTGAGTAATCGATTTTTTGCCATGAGCCAAAGGAAATTACGAATCCGTTGTGGTCCCGGCCATTGCCAAACAGCCCGCCATAAAGGCTCGGGCCCGAACCCAAGTTCTCGTCCCTGTCCAGAAGTTCATACGCGGATCTCGTGGTGAACCTACCGGTGGTCGAGGGGCCCCAGTACAGCCGGTCGCACCCGAGCTCCTCTCGCGGCGGTAGTGTCACCGCGATTTGTAGCAGCACGGACATCGGCACCAAATGAGAGAATAAATTCCAACGCCATGATCCGTTTTCCGAGGCAAAGAAGCGGACATTTTTGTCGATTAATTCTGTTGGGACCACGGCAGTAGCAACGTTGTGCAAGATGATATCCGAGTGCATCCATTTGTCGGTCAAGAATTTTGCCGTATCTCCGTTGCGTACCGCCCATCGAGCCCCGCCAACTACATGCTTCCAAATTTTCAGTACCGACTGGATAACCACCGAGCCCGCTCTCCTACGCCCAGCAATAACTTCAAAAGGGTTATTACCATACTTAGCTTCCAAATTTGCACCCATAGTGCGTTCTGGTTCGCGAGGAATTTCCAGCCGAGCTTCATTAACATAGCCTCGTTCATCATCCGTTGACGTTTGAATCCCAGGCCACCATAATCTTTTGCCATACAAACCTCCTCCCACTTGACGAGGCTAAGTTTTCTTTTATCATGCGAGCCCCCCCCAAATAAAACGTCTAACTCGTTTTTCCAAACCCGAGCAGATGGAGTTAGGTAGGCGGACCGATTGCATGGTATAGTACGGAAGAGCGCTAACTACAAATTGGGCCAAGACCACCCAGCCAGCCATGGATAAAGAAGCCGCCTTCCACCCGGACAATCGAGTATCTGCCTTCTCAGTAATTCGCTCATACGTTTGGCTCGTGACCCGGCTATGTATAAGTGGGACGCCCAGGTAGTAGCCAAGGTCCCCTACCATGTTGAACCCCACTAAATTCGAGAGGGCCCGTCGGTCGTTTAGACTAACATTCTTCGAGAAGAAAATGATAGTTTTTGCTTCACTCACTCGTAGGCCTGACACTTGACAAAAATCTGTGAGAACCCGCTTTAGTGTACACACCTGGTCCGTTGAAGCTTCCAGAAATAGGAATAAATCGTCTGCGAATAACAAGTACGGGACTTGAACTCGGCCACGCCCTACGCTTATCGATTTCCATTTACCGGCCCCAACCTCGCTTTGGATGACATGTGCTAGACGTTCAATGCAAAGGACAAAGAGGTAAGGGGAGATAGGGTCCCTTTGTCGCACTCCCCTTGACGGTTGGAATGTTTCGCTTGGGACTCCATTCCAGAGGATTTGCATGGATGCCGTGGAGAGACATTTCATAATGACATTCACAAACCTTGGTGGAAACCCCGCCAAAGTGAGAGTATCCTCAACAAAGTCCCAGCGCAAGAAATCATAGGCCTTCTCTAAGTCTACTTTCACTACCATAAACCCCGTGGCTCCCGTTTTAATCTTCATTGAATGGATCAATTCCTGGGACACAATGATATTATCATGAATACGTCGACTCGGGATAAAGCCAGATTGTGCCGGGCCGATTAATCCGGGAAGAAGCGGCTTCATCCTGTTAGTAACCACTTTCGTTAGTAGTTTGTATGCCACATTCAAGAGACTGATAGGACGGAATTGTTTAATCGTTTCAGGCTGGTCACACTTGGGGATAAGGACAATAAGAGTTTTGTTGATGTCAGCCGGCAGATCTCCGCCATTAAGAATCGACTTGATTAGGCGGCACACTGAATGTCCTACTCTCATCCATTGACTTTTAAAGAACAAAGCATTGAGCCCATCAACTCCCGGTGCTTTTAACGGGCCCATCTTCTTGAGAGCCCTTGTAATCTCGTCTTCAGCCACTTCTCTTTCAAGCATAACCAAAGACTGTGGGTTTATGGCCGGGAAGCCTGGGCCCACGGCCCTGGGCAAAGGATACGTCTGGTCGGCCTCATAGATGGTCTTGAAATAATTGACGGCCATACATTGTAACTCAGCCTGATCCGTAATCAGGTTGTTCGCTTCATCCTTCAAGGCAACGATTTTATTTGTGCATCGTCTGGTTTTCACTTGCCTGTGGTAGAAAGCTGTGTTACGCTTGCCAAAGAGAGACCAGTTACGGTTTGATTTTTGGATCATGAGGACTTCCTCTTGAAGCAAAATGTCTTCCAGGTCGGCCGTCAAAGTCTTTTCCAACTGCAACAACCGTGAGGATTTGCGATATTGTAATGAGCGTTGAATCCCTCCAATGCGTGCCAACAGAGTTTTCTTTTTAGCAAAAATGTTCCCAAAGACTCTAAAGTTCCAGTCACTTGCCGCAATGGAGAAGGATTTGGCTGCATCCACGAAATTTTCGGCCCCTGACCAACACTCTGCCACGACTTCCTCAAACCCATCATGTAAGAGCCACAGAGCTAGGAATCGAAAGGGCTTTGTTCCTCGAGGTGTGTGTTGGCTCGGGTTGCAACGAACGACGAGAGGTGTGTGATCCGATTTTAACCGAGTCGCATGGAGTACAAAGGCATTCGAGAACCTATTCATCCAAAGCTCGTTGCAAATGAACCTGTCCAATTTCTGGGAAAGGTCCCGTCTACACCATGTGAATTTAGTACCATCAGTTTTGACTTCATGTTGGCCATGGTCAAAGATCCAGTCCGAGAAGGCACCACAGCCTTTTCCTCCATTGGGAGAGCCACCAGATCTCTCCGAAGGCCGTAGTATACAGTTAAAATCTCCACCAATTAACCAAGGGTCATTGATGGATAGAGCTAGGTTGTGTAAAAGGTCCCACAAAACCCGTCTGCCACGCGGGTTAGGGGAAGCAAAAATGAAAGTAATAAGAGACTCTCTATCATCGATCTTAGCATGAAGGTGAACGAACTGTTTGTGGCATTGAAGAATGGTCACCTCGGCTCCCTCCCTCCACAAAACCCATATCCCTCTCGAGAAACCAGAAGCCTCGACTCGGAACGACCGGGGATATCCAAATCTACGAATAAACTCATCAGCATTCACACCGCTGATCTTGAGTTCAAATAAAGCCACTACATCTGGCTGATGTTGATTAATAACTGTCGAGAAAGCTCTACGAAATCTACTAGAGCCTGCTCCGTGAAGTTCCAGGCAAGATAATTCATGGAAAAAACTGTGGAGGAAGAGAGCCCACCCCATCAGAGCGAGCATGGGCTTTCTGTGCCCGTCCCCATATTCGTATCATCGTCATCCATACGTATAACTTCTTAGAACTGGACAGCCCTGAGGTATCCGGGGACTCCTCCTGAAGGGGTGGTTCATGACGAACAGATGGTTGAGGGTCCACTGCCATCTCATGGGTCGCCGAGGGTGAGCTGACGAAGGTGACAACTCGGTGTCGTTCAGGATCAAGAATAGTCGTAGTAGGGACCATGTGAAAGCTATCTTGGGGGATTCCTTTACCCCGTTGAATTGCCAACTCCTCCCGTTGCTTAGAGCTGTCTCGTCTCGTCTCCCCACCGTCTTTGTTTGTGCCGTTGGTTCCTATGCTAAATCCCGGAGGGTGACCCACGATGGGTTCTTTCGGTCCTGACACCTACGTAGCCTTATCTATCCTCCTACCAGTTCCCTTTGGTTTCCATATTTTCGGTCCAATTCTGTTATCATGCTCCCCAGTTTGTGTAGTGAAAGTCCACCCACCTTGACAATTCCGTTATCATGCTCCCCAGTTACTTTGACAATTTGTAATGCAGGTCTTAGTTGGACTGAGCCCGAAAATAGTTCAAGGAATTAGGGAGATTTTTAGAAGAGATGAGGAGTTTTAATTAGAGTAAATTACCCCCTACATGATCAACCATTTTATGAAGGACATAAGAACGAGATTAAGTTTTTAATCCCATAATGAGAATATCATACTTGAGAATAAACAGGTTTTGTATTCCATAAAAATGTCTCTTGACTTTTTTAAATATCAATTGATCAAATAATTAAATTAAATGAAAAAGGTAATAAAACCACTTAGGGAAGTGTGATTCTGCTGATGTCTTTCTCCATTATCAATATCCCTATCCCGATGCAAGCAATCATCATCTTTTTTAATTTGTTCAACAAAAACCCTAATAAAATAAAAATAAAATAAAAATTACATGGCCAAACACTTGATCGGCCATTATCATTTCCCAATATTCTCTGATATGTCGAAAAACAAAGATCGTTTGAAGAACATTCCACGGTGAGACGGCCGACCACTGCACTAGTGCTCGTAAAGAACACTACTCTGTTTCTCGAATGAAGGTCGACGCTGATGTGAAGGGCAAGCGTAAGCTTGTTTATGTTAGGATTATTTTGATTTCGAAATGGAACAAGAAATTTCGTCGACCAAGAAGAATATTTTTGTATTATGNTTTCTTCTCTGTATTTTTAACTAGTTTGGTATGTTACATGTTTATGTTTATTCATAATGTAAATAGTTTGGTATCAGAAATGTTGAGCATGTTTGTTTATGAAATTTTTCTAAAAATTTCCAACATTTTAACTTAACCACTTTTTTTAACTCAATTTTACCTCAACCCACTATCATCAAAATTATCAATATAATTAAATAATACCAATCAATCATTCATACACACCACATCAACCTTAATTTACTATTCATCCACTCGCATTATTTTAACTAACCATCACTTCAAATCTCTCTCTCCTATTTTTGCATCAAATCAATTTTAATTATTTAATTTTAAATATTATTTTAATATACTCACTAACAACTAACCATACCACCTTTTTCAAAACTAATCAAACCAAATCAAAAAATTCAAACAAAACCAAAAATTTTTATAAACAAACATGCTCGTTATGTTTGTTATTTGACTAATTACAAACCTAAAATAAACCCAGCTTTTGATAACTATGGTAGTTTCTTGCAAGTTGCAATTGTTTTATTTTCAGCACCTTTCCTTGATTACACAGAATTGTGGCGTCGATTAGGAAATAATGAGATGTTTATTGCTCTACAAATTTAACAATAAAAAATTTATTTTTCGGGAATTCATAAATACTTTGTTCACACATGTGTGAAAAGTTTTTTTCTTTCATTTTTGCGGAATTGACACCTAAAGGACTCGCTATGTGTCCTTTAGCCTTTTAATTATGATCCATCTTGTGACATCTTGGACCTTTATCTTATTAAATGGACAACATTTTTTATTAAAGGATTATTGGTAAATTAGCATCTTCTTATTAATTGAATCTATATATATATATAAAAAGAATTACCATTTATCAAAAATAGTAAGCAAAAAATCTGCCAACATTAATTACATACTATTTTGAGTAACTTTTTTTTTTATATATATTTCAAAAAGTCAGGAAGCATTTTACTTGGTAAAAAATCGGATATGTATCTTCACTTGCTAATTAATGTTTATTATTTATTTATTTTTCAAATGGTAAAAGAATTTTTATAATTTCTGTCTCTTTAATTTTGCATTACAAAACAAAATTCAAATGAATTCCGTAGATAAAGAAACACTTGATGCTCAATTAAATAAAAAAATTTTATATTAAAATTTATTTTGAAATCTCGGTTTGTTCAAATCACTAACATACTACAAAAATTTAATAAATATGCACTACTTTGTTTAGACCCATGTTCGTATCAAGTCATCATGTCAATTACATAATCAGTTATTTAATTTTATTTTTTTAAAATATATATAAGTAATAAACAATTAATTTGTCTTCTGTAATATAATTTCGAGTCATAATATATGGTCATTTGTTATAAACATTTACTATATGAATCACAACTTATTTTTTATTTCACAAAATTAATTATATTTACGACAAAAAAGATGAAATTTATTTGGATCAACCGATTCAATGAATCAGGTTATTGTACATGTTTATTACACCAATTTTTTATCATTTGTAAAAATCGCCGAAAAATATGACACAACTTTTGTTGCATCTTGGGTGACCATGTTATGAGTCAAATTGACTGAATTAAATCGATTATTGAAACTGAATACTGATTTCTTAAGAAATATTTGTTCCAATAAATATAATACAATTCAAATAATAAAGTAAGAATGTTATCGTGAGGTAATGAAGATGAATGTTAAGTTATATATTGTGGGAAAGACTACAATCCATTACGGAATTATTTTGTCAAATATTTTAACTGTTAGATACACATGTAGATTAGCGGAGGATAAATAATATACTGTTAAAACCCCCGACGGAATAGTGTCGTAACGAGCTTTCCCTTTAGTTTATAATTCAATTATTTTATTATTTATTCGTGCATCGCACGGGCAACATACTAATTCCTTAATCAAATCAATTAATACAACTTGATATCCATTAATACAATCACCTGTCAACTAATTACCAAACAAGATGTGTATCAACTAAATCTTATGTGGTTTGTTGAGTTT